AATGAAAGCAAGTTTCCGCATGTTTGCGTATATTCAACGTGTCGAAGTTTTGGGGTAAGAAAATAAGTTTTCGTAATTTTTTCCAAAGGCCGGGACACCATATGAGGCCCTTAAAACGCCATGAATTAAGCAAGACAAAGCGCAAACGTCAAAACATTCACGAGCCGTATGTAATTTCGCTGGATACGTCGCTTGATAGTCATATATGAATCGGCGAGAGAGAAGTGTGGAGTATCCAAGAGGTGGTGTAAAATCAAGGGCTGAAGTGGCTAGGAATAAATACTAAGCGAAAAGCGAAGAGCGTGTGTTTACATTTGTGCCTGCCAAAGCTCAAGATAATGGAGCATAAGAAGAACCGAATCTACTTCTTTTTTCCACCAAGAGTAAAGAATTTCTTCTTCCCCACAGCACTGCTACTCACTCCCGTCTGACTGGAAATGGTGCTGGAGCCAGGCGTGCCCGAGGAGGCCCCAACACCCTGTCCGGTACCAGTGCCACTGCGAGGGGAAGACAGAGAGCCAGGAGGGGTGGAACCCGAAGGGAGAGTGGCAGCTCGACCGGATGCTCCTGGGCCCGAAACTTCTGAACCTATGCCTGCAGGGAGGCCTGCAGCAGCAGAGGCAGCAACAGAATTTATCATAGCCACCCAGGCAGCCATTTCTTCATCTGAATGAGCCTGGAATAAAGTCTCACCACCGTTAGCCAATTTGAGTCGAAAAACGTGCGGTCGCTTAGCATAGTTAACAGCAGGAGCGGCTGAAGCTCCGATTAGGCTGATGGGCGCCTCATGGTGGTAAAGATCGCGGGGCTTATCACGCGCATGACGCTGATCCTTATAGGCGGATAGGGTAGCAGTACCAGCTGAGAGAATAATGAAAAGCTCGTGCCAAGATCGCGCAGAAGCTTTCTTGTTTGTCGACTCCCATTCATGCTTACGTGTAAGGGTTCCCTCGTGATCACGAGGAGGAGGAAGTTGTAGTTGCTGCTGAGTCGCAGTCACCAGTGAAAGAGGCAGTTGGGCAACCGGCTGGGTCCCACGAACTGTAGATTTCAAGTCAGTATGTGATGGAGAAGATTGAGAAGAGGCTATTTGGCCCACCTCGCCAGCTCCGTCAATGACTGATGGAGTGGCTGCTGTTGCAGTTGGAGGGGGAGGGGCGAATTCGCGAATAACATCCTGGATACGACGCTCCTTCTCTAGTCGGTTTGTAGCCTCCATCTCAAGAGTGCGCTCGTGGGCTTTCAATTCGAGCTAGATGGTAAAAAGTTAATAATTAAAGATATGAAAAATGCATGCTTCTTTAGAAGGCGCAGAAATTAGAACTGATAGTGTCGATCCTAGATGCCGAATGACTAGGCTCAACTAATAATTGAAGAAGCAAAGATCATTGCCAACAGACAATAAATATAATAAAGTTGCATTTCGGAAGAATGAAGAAAGAAGTTTGAAATGACGAAAGCAAAAATTTGAAAAATATAAGACTAACAGTCGTAAGTCTACGCAGCTGGTGGAAGCGTTCTTCCTGGGTCGCAGCGGCACGTTCAAAAGCAAGGTGTTTTTTAAGAAGAGCTAACGTCTCATCCAAAGACTCTCCTAGATCTCCACTCATTAGGTAGGGTTCTTGAGCAAAAAGCCAAGCTTCGGCAACTGCGGCGTCCCGAGCAAATTGATAAACCTCGAGAAGAAGCTGCAGAGCCTCCCATCGGTCCTTCCATTGGTCCATTAAATTAATTCTCTCTGTGACGAGCTAAACAAATTACATAAGCATGAATGAATTTATGAATCATCCAAAAAATAAATACAAGTCAATGTAATGAAATGGTGAT